TCCACGTTTGGTGTTGTGGAGTACTCCAAGCCTTACTCGAAAGCTTTCCTGAACACACAGCTAACAATGGTCCTGGCAGACAATGGGACTCTTCATGATTACCTCTTGGAGCTACAGAGGAACTATTTTGATATGCTTACGAAACTATGCGATAATGAAAAAGAGGCGTTGAGATATATTACAATAACAGGACAAACGAGAACTATTCAGCGTCTCAAAGAAAAAGGATTAAATGATCCGCAGGTGCAACAGGATCTTCAGGGACTGCGAAATGAAGATGTCAAAAAAATGTTAAAAGACGAGTCGGAAACCAAAATAAGTAATGTCATAAATCAAAAGAAGATAACTAAGCTTCGTGTATTGGTTCCCAAAGCAAGAATGGTATTCGGTGTATGTGATCCTTATGGAGAACTCGAGTATGGGGAGGTTTTCTTCCRGCCAACTCTTCYCGATGACGAAGAGRCTAATGACTTTTCTAGTGCACGAAGGGTTATTGTTGGTCATAATCCATGCTACCATCCAGGAGACATAAGAGTATTGAAACTCGCCCATGATAAACAGAGGTAATTTCTATGGTAATTTATCATACAATATAGGTTACCGTAAAAATACCGTATTATATGTAAATTAGGGGATATTGTCTCCCGGTTTGRCAGCATATCCCATTTTGGAGGCATAATATTTAGATCTTATTAACCGCGCGGGAGGTCTGTACGGGATAATCTTGACCGAGGTCGGAATGTACAGACCGAGGTCAAGATTATCCCGTACAGACCGACCAAGCTCGGTTGATAAGAGTTTTATTATATGACCACTTTTCATTGAAAAGGACAAAATGTTTTCGCCGTAAGATTAATATGCGATCGGACCGGTTAATACCGGAGAATCTAGACCAGTCCGCGATGCGATCTATCCAATCAGATTGCTCGATTTGTTAGTGTCCAGGCTCTAAGATTCACGGTCATATAATAAACTATTATATTAACAATTGACTTTGCRTGATTATAGGCATATTCAACATCATACTATTAAGTGAAAGTATTTCAAATATAGAATGACAAAATATTTTTTTCTGCATATCAAACCCCAGGTACGTCCATTTGTACGACTGTATCGTGTTCCCTACAAAAGGAAGGCGACCCCACCCCGATGAATGTTCCGGTGGAGACCTCGATGGTGATAAGTTCTTCGTTAGTTGGGAT